GTATATGCAGATGAGGTATAGGACTGCCTGGTCCAGCTCCACTTCATGGAGGGTGTGACCACACAAATCATATGCAACAAGCTGGGGAGGGGGAGGAGGTGCGACAAACGGTTTCTGGGTAAACTGTTTGCGTCCCAATTTGGTGATGTTTGCAAGACACTTAAAGCTCAGAGGTCCAGGCTAGTGATCCAGGCTGACTTGGATAAGCTTAGGAAGTGGGCGGACACAAATCTGATGACGTTCAATACTGATAAATGCAAGGTACTCCACCTCGGGGGAAGAAAAACCCGCAGCGTACTTATAGGCTTGGCAGTGCTACACTTGCTAGCATCACTGCTGAAAGAGATTTAGTGGGTCATGATTGACCACAAAATGAACATGAGCCACCAATGCAATGTCGCAGCTGGCAAAGCAAACAAAACCCTGGCTTGCATCTATAGATGCTTCTTAAGTAAATCTCAGGATGTCATCTTCCCACTGCACTCGGCCTTGGCAAGGCGGCAGTTGGAGTACTGCATCCAATTCTGGGCTCCACAATTCAAGAAGGATGTCGAGAAGCTTGAGAGAGTCCAGAGGAGAGCCATGCACATAATCAGAGGGCAAGAGAATAGGCCCTATGAAGAGAAGCTGAGAGCCACGGGACTCTTCAGTCTGGAAAAGCACAGGCTCAAGAGGGACCTGGTGGCTGCCTGTAAGTACACAAGCGGTGTTCATCAGGATCTGGGAGACCGTCTGTTCACCAGAGTGTCCCAAGGAAAAACAAGGACCAATGGTCATAAACTCCTACAAGACCGTTTTAGGCTGGATATAAGAAAAAAATTCTTTACTGTCTGAGCCCCCAAGGCCTGAAATAGACTCCCTCCAGATGTGGTACAGGCACCTACTCTGGGCTTATTCAAGAAACACTTGGATGCTTATCTTGCTGGGTTCCTTTGACCCTAGCTGACTTCCTGCCCCTGGGGCAGGGGGCTGGACTTGATGATCTTTGAAGTCCCTTCCAGCCATAACGTCTATGAAATCTATGAAATCATGAAGAAAAAGGAATCACTAGACATGCAAAAGAAAGGTGCAGCTCAGCTGTGGGAGTGAAAAAGCTGAAATTTATTCAATGTGGTGGCTCACCGTGACTGGAAAAAGAGTTGGTGCTTGAGGGAATTGTGCAATAGGTACTATCCACACATCTCATTCAGATAGGTTGTACTAACCTATCCTTGTGATAGGCTCCCAGGTATCTAGCAGGAGAACTAGCATCTCCTCAACCTTGAGTGACTCAAGTGTTAAAGGTAGAGGCCTGTCCTGGCAAGCTGACCTTGCAACCGTCTACAAATGTCTCCAAATGTGAGGATCTCAGATACACAATTTATGGTGATGGGGTTTAGGTGTTTCCTCTAGCTTGCTTCTTCAGCATTTTGACTAGGGACAAGCAAGACTAAGGGGTAAGCCCAAACCTCCAGGCTTTGGGCTTGCCACATGGGATGCTTGCCATGGATTTCAGAGCATCTAAAGTCCAGACTGATGAGTCTGGGAGGTACGATACTTGCCTGTGTTAGTGTCACACAGACTTGAATGATTGGGCTCTTCTCAGTTGAAATTTGGAACTTAACTCAGAACTTATTTGGCCCTGGAAGAAAAATTTTACTTAAAAAAAAAAAAAAAAAAAAAAAATCAGTATATTTGTCCAATGTGGGCCATGTGTTTTAAAGTCATGTTCGGCGTTGGCTGCATTTAAGCAACTTCATAGTTGATTTCCATTAGTGAGTACAGGCTGGTCTTGGCAGCAGTTTAATGATAGCCAATGTATTTAATGAGGTTTCCTTGTTTGTGAATGTAACATGACAGCCTTTTTCCTCCCATGCTGATTGGAAAAAACATTTTGTATTTGTGTAAATATGGTACTAGCTATACTTTCAATTTCTACACAACAGTTTGGAATGATTAGATGTGCTCACGCACCTCCACACACCCACGTTATAGATAGAACGATATGTATCTCTTTAAAGGAAAACTGTAAACACGTTTCTCAGCCAAAGAGAGTTCAAAAGGTAAGTTCAAAAGTATTTTCAATTTCTATGTAAACATACAGTGATAGGCGTTTCAACAAAAGGGACCAAATTCAATCTTAGTGGGCCACAGAGGGCTTCAACCAAGTTATATTAAGGGAATTTGATCCTAATGTTAAATTACACATCCTATTTCAAAACCTCCTACTGTTAACAATGATTTGCTAAAAAAGTTATATAATTTGTGACACTAGCAGAAATGAATCTCTGTCAGATATTTTTAGTTATTTAGTTCTCTTCTATCTTGCATCAATACTGGTTTAACTAATCAGCAGGAATCCGGGTTTTCCACTTGTCAAGAAAAAATGTAGATTTTCTCCTTTAGAGAAAAAAATGTGGATATTCTCCTTGAAGTTTCCCCTTGCAGGCTGGCAGTGTTCCAGCCTGCAAGGGACTGCTTGGGCCTAGGGGGAACTGGAAGAGGCTGATCGAACACAGGGGGTACCATGTGCATGTGTGTGTACATACACATGCACGTGGCTTTCAATACAGCCCCAGACAGTGTGGTGCACAACGGCTCCTCCAGCTGCCTGCAGGTAACTCTATGGCAGGGGCATAGGCAACGCATTGGGGAAGGCAGATTGAAGCGGTGGCGGTGGCTCGCACTCAGCCCCCAGGATGAGGGAGGGAGTGGGGCAGGGTTGGCAGCTGGGACTGGAGGCTCTGGCAGCTAGGACACTGCACAGAGCCTGAGGCTGGAATGCACAGCCGTGGGGCCCAGCCAGGGAGCAGGATGGAGCCATGGGCAGCTCATCTGGGAAAAGGGGCTAATGAGGTGGCCAGCTCCCTGCTTCTTTGCACTCCCAGGGAGGGGTTGGGTGCCATAGGGGATGTGTTGGGGATGCATGGGGGGCACGTGACTCCCAGATTTGTATGCCCACAGCAGGGCATAGAGGTGGAGCCTGGGGGTGGGGGACAGTTGGTTGGGAATGAGGGGCACCAGCAGGGCTGGGTGGGATGGGAGGCTGCAGGTTGGGAGTGAGAGGCACTGGTGGGGACTGGGGGCTGTGCATCAGGACTGAGAGGCACCAACAGGGCTGGGGGGGCTGTGGCTTGGGAGTGAGGGGCACCAGCCTATCAGGGCTGCTCAGCACCACAAAGCAGGGGCAGAACAGTTACAACTGGACCCACGTCCTTGTGAGCGAAGGAGGCAGGGTGAGCTCTGATTTTCTATGATAAAAAAACCAAAATCAAATGCCAAAATATATAGATATTTATAATTTATTTTATTATAATGATTGAGGCACTAGTAGGCTTCCAAATTGCTTTAAAATTATAAATATATCAATAAAGCATTGTGTTCAACTGTTATATACACAGTGCTGTTTCATTTTAGTAGCAGAAAAATGTAGATTTGGGGGTTTTTAGTCAGAATTTTGGTTTTTTAAGCAGAGAAAGTCAAGATCCCTGCTAATCCAAATTGAAAAAAAATATTAAAATGCCTAATCCATAAAACACTTTATATCATTCTTGAACCAGAACTAAATTAGCCTGGAAGCTTAATCGTCATCTTGGATCTAGGATTCTTATACTTTCAGGGTATATTTACACTTATGGTATGTCTACACTGTTGAGCTAACGTAAGTACCAGGTACTGTCCAGGTTTTGTTTTTAATTACCCAGGTATTGTTATTAACCTCTTGAATTTCCACAGACAAAAAACCGACTCAGATTTTGTGGTCTAAACAGGAAAATTGGTATGGCTGGAATATAGATTAGAGCCCAAGTTCTACTTTAACCTAAGCTATGAAGTACCCACTTTACTGTAAGGCCATGTCTAAGTGAAAGAAACTCCCCCAAATCTACTGCAGGATTACTGATTGCATGAAGTTGTTGGTTGGCTCCAATGTCAAGTTTCCTGTGGCATAAACTATAATTGCATCTGCTAATTCAGACAGAATTGAGCAACATTCTCATCTCCAAGCAGTGCAAGACAAAAATAAAAAAGATATAAAAAGATATACTACATTTACTCACATACCACATGCACCTTTCATTCCCAAAATTATCCACCCCAAATTGCAGTGTGTTTTCAGCATCAAGTCAATTTGTGTGCTGGAATGGAAGTATGGGGATGCTGCTGGGGTCTGGTTCCCTCCTGGCCACATGGAGGAGGGCATTTATTCCTGAGCATCATTTGCTCTCTCTTTGCTGCTCAGCCAAAAGCTAGAGGTTTAAACCTGTCACAGTCAATGGTAAATTGAATGCAGCTTTTGGCTGAATAGTTGATCCAAAAGCTGTGACAGGGTTAAACTTCTAGCTTGTGGCTAAGCAGCAAGGGGAGGACAAGTGATGCTAGGATTCGGCCATAACTCTGGAAAAATCTTTTTTCTTCATTCTACCTTCCCAAAACAAAGTGTGTGTCTTCTTTGGGGTCATGTGGTATATGAGAAACTATGTTATCTGAGTAAACACTTGGAAACTGGCTGTTGGCAGTGTTCAACCCAGAGGTTGGTTGCAATACCTTTTGACTGTGTACTAGTTGCCTAAATTATACTATTTTTAATAGCATGGTACTCATCAGCACTGAGCTGAGAAGCATAAGGTTCTTAAAGATTTGTAGTTGGAAAAAATTCTTGCCTCATAACTTTTCAGAATTACATTAAGGATGGATACTACATAAAAGCATATATAACACCCAGATAGATAAAAAAGAGTGAATAAAAGTTGCCATTAGTTGTTAGAAGGATATTAAATGTAAGATCCCAGATCCAAAGCTTTAACAGCTTACTTGCACTTAAACATTTCACATTGACAGGAAAATGAATGAATAGCATTATGACTGCTCTCTGCAACAATAAATGTATCTTTACTTAGTGGTATAAATTTGTGTAAATAATGTTATTGCAAAGAGGAAAAATGGCTTAGTAGTGTCTAACAGTTGAATCTTGATTAGGTAACTAATACACATTATGAACATATGAGAATATTTTTCCCTACCTTTAGGTGCCAGCTGCAGAAATTGCTTGTGGAGCATACTAAGCTGTGAAGTAGTTAAAGCACTATTTGCAGATGTCTCTGCAGGTGGAGGGTGTGGTTGAGGGACAGGATCTGGAATTACTTTTACTTCACTGCTAATAAAGAAGTCTGTATCCTCTAAAACCATTTCAAATTGGATTTTGGTAGAACTTTCGATGTGGTGGCGTGCAACCTCAGTTAATTTTTCAACACTGTAAAATTGAAGTATAGCAATTAGGATATTAAAAATATTAAGTAGTAGTGACTTAGGGTAAGGTTTGTAGATCTTTCATCACTTGCAGGTTTTCTTAACAAAGCACACATCCTCTATGTGGATCAAGGAAAAGGAATGAAACTCAGGAGGCCTGTTCCCAGTCCCTACTGTGCCTACAATATCTTGCTTCTCTACTAGCAGCATGACACCATTTGTCACTGCTTTGTGGGCTCCACATAAAGGGGAATCTCATCTATAGAGTGGGCTTGATGGAAAGATGACACAGACATAGCCAGAATATGCTGGGTGATGTCTACTTGTTTGAACACACCATCTACCCACTATTTGCTCATCTTTTCTCCCTGTTCTCTCTGCTAGTGTACACTCCTGGATTTATAGAGCACTTCCCACAGGAAAAGAATAATACTGGTGTTTTGACGTATGAACTCTGATTACAGGTGGGAAAATATGACCAATACACAGAAGATCCCCTCTTCATAATTAAAGGGGGTAACAAATATACCCATATTTGTCCAAATCTATTTCCTTCTCAGACAGTGCAGACTAATTGTACCAGAAAGGATACCTTTTTCTTTTGTGATCTTTAAAATATCTCCTGATAATTGCTACACATACAGTGGCAGAAACACTAGGTGGAGAATTCTGAATGGGAAAAACAGCAAAATGACCCCAAAATTTCAAAGTACAACTGTTCTGATAGTTTCCTAGGAATAAATTACAGCCCTCTACCAGGATTCATAAGTCTGCTAATTCTGTTTTTTAAGAAAAGACTAAGATTAGTTGTGCAACACTTCCATGGACTAATTTTCCAAGACATGCAGCACTACTGGAAACATCAAGTATTAAGTCATAAGATCAATATTAGCAAATTAAAAGAATAATTTTAACTCATTTTTAAAAGTTACTCATGCTTGCCTTATCTGAACAATTATCTTCCTCAGCTTTATTATAGATTTTTTTTTTAAAGGGGATACACGTTCCACTTAAAAATTAGGCATATATTACCTGGACATCTCTGCTAGAAACCTGGCTCCAAGCCATTTTTCCATGTCTTTGTAAGTTTCTTCTGCTTTTCTTACTAGCTCTTCAACAAATGCTATTGCTTTTATTTTTATCAGCTCTAGTCGAGATTTTGCAGCTTCCTCTGTTTAAACAATTATTTCAGAATTACTAATATTTATACAATCCAAAGCTATTTGTCAAGTTTAGGCACTTAGAAGTTAAGCACCTACACCTGATCTTGTGTGTAAAAAAAATACCTATTTAGGTTTCTCAGATTTTTGTATTCCTTTATATTTTTCAATGTTTACTCAACTGTAGAATTTTACAAAATGCACCCACAGTACAGATCAGAATATGAGGTCAAAGAACTGTTAACCAAGTTTTATGTATAGACAGGAGATGACTTAGTCTTAAAAAATAATAATATGCACCAAGATTCATATAATGCCCTCTCACAAAAGTGTTAAGTGTAATGATAAATGTATATAAGAAGAACATTGTGAATTATTTTAAAACATTTTCTTTGGACCTCAAACACAAGATCATACAGAAGTAAGGCTGGAAGGAACCGCAAGAGATCATCCAGTCCAACCAACTGTACCTGTGCCCTTGGTAGAGCACCGTGCTTTAACCAACTGAGCTAAACAGCCACTGTTTGAAAGAGGAAGTTCATTATTTAATCATATGAAATTACAATCTGGCAGAGAAAACCTATTCAGTGCTCAGGAGGACAGGACTCACAAAAGAAAATTTATGCCAAATGTAAGACATGTTCATTGTTCTGTTCCTGACATCCCACTGAAGTTGATGTAAGTCTTGACACTGACTCCAGTAAGCATTGGAAAAGGCCCCAAAAGCACAACTGTCTTATATCCACAAAGTTGTACTTATAACAATTTCCACTTCATGAAAATGGGCAGTTTAATAGGGACTGAAAAAATATTTCAACTCTGCTGAGATCTGTATTTAAGATTGTTTTCACTGAGAGAGTGAAGGATGGAGGCAATACACAGGATCCTGGGAATAGAGAATTATCAATATCTTGAAGATGGGTGCAGAGTGGGCAAAAGAGAAATAAATTGGGGTAACGCATATTGAACAGATAAGGGTATGAAAAGGCTTTGAAGAAAAAGGGAAAACCAAAGATGATAAACTCAACTTTTTTAGAACTTAATTGTATATACTATAATTTAAAAACTATGGTTGCTAACAACTTGAATAGTTAAAATAGAAACTCTTACAATTACAGTCCTTACTTTTTTCCAAAGCATTCCCCTCTTGGGCTGAAATTTACTTCAAAAATCTATACACAAAAGTGAACTTATCACAAAATGTGAAGCAAATCCCTTCAAGATAATCTCTGAGATATAGGAGAAAGCAAAAATACACATTTTTTGTTCAAATACCACAAAACGTATACTAGTAAATGAGGATCCATTCCTACAATGTACTAAATGAAATGGCTATATACCTTCAAGTTCAAGGGCACTAAAATATTCCCGCCTCATTTTATGCTTCAGTTCTTGTTTCTTTAATTCTTCTGGTGTTAATGGAACAGGAGTGGCTTCAACCACAGGTGCTGGAGAAGGTGCTCCTACAAGAAATAGAAGAACCATTTTATCAAAAAATAAAATGTTAGAATGTGTACACAGCACAGTACAATTTGATTTACAGGAAATAGATCCTTTCATGTTAACTTGATATTTTTTATGAGATGAAAAGTTTCCTTGATAACGTAGCATACTTAGATTTTGGTCAGGAATTTGATTTAAAACTATATGACATCCTGATTAAAAAAAGAGAATCATATTCACAATCAGTTTAGCATGTATTAAATGAATAATATTAAATGAATAAAAACCAAGAAAATAATCGCGCCCAAGATGTTATTCTCAGTGGGGAATCACCATCACACGGACAAGTTTTTATGGAGGTGTTATCCAGTCAAAATGGTCCCTTCTGGCTTCAAAATCTAGTAATCTATAATCAACTGCAAAAACACACAGTACCCCTGCATGGCAAATCTCTATCTTGGGGCCAAACTGGGAGATACAGTAAATAGTACTTTACTTTTACTAATGATAATTTACCAACCTAGTACTTACACCAGTAAATACTAGGTTGGTTAATCAGCATCAGTTATCACCAATGCAGTATGAGGATAACACTGCAGAAGGAAAAGACCGATAATAGAAGAGAAAAGACTTCCCCCTCCTTTGTTAAAGGAATTTAAAAATCACCCTACTAGTTGCTGTTTAGGGGCCCACACAAGCATGATGCATTACTATTAGTCATATCACTACCTTATCATTCTGTTTTTATTACTGTGTTGACAGCATGCTTGCCATCAAATAATCTTGACCGTTATTCAAATGTATAGAAAACTGCAACTTCTCTGTTCCAAAAACTGAGTTGAAGCAGCTGCTGTGGTGGTGCAACAGGATGCCACTGACAGTAGACCAGCACATTAGTGTCATAATAACGCACATAATTAAATGTAGGAATGACAAAAACAGCATTCAGTAATTAAGATCACTTTCCCATTCAGAATGCTGCTGCTGCACTGCCTGCAATATAAACAAATTACACTGTGCGTTCTTGGGGTGAGAGAAGAAGTAAAAGCTAATCAGTTCTTCCTATGTAGGAAAATATACAGCAACCTTCTACTTGCTATGAAATCAACGGTTTTACAATTAATGTACAGCTCAGGTCCATTCGTAGGTCTGCCACAGACCACCTGTGTGACCTTGGGCAAACCTCTTGGGACTAGATATAGTTTGATCTCTACAATGTTTAGATTTAGGTGTATCAGCCTGGGAAAGCAACCTAATTTAACCATGTTTTGGTACCCAAGATGTCTATACAGTCAATGGGGAGACTTGGGTGACTTCAGAGGACAAAGAGAGGTAGTTGGTTATGTTATTCTGAAGTCAGGCAGAAGGCAACATCTGAAAAAGTAAGCCTCATGCTTACAAAACTTTATGCTATACACCTCTGATTTAGTTAGTCTATAAGGTGCAAATCTACCCTGCTTTCTCCAAAGAATAAGGTGTAGATGATCAAGAAGCCTGAATGCGCTGTGTGGTTAAGCACAATAATTTACTGCGCTCCCAGATCTGACTTGTATCTGACAGGACTATCTGGCAGTGCAGTAAATTAATCTATCGTGCCCAAATTGCCATGCACGTATAGACAGTGATGCTTTACTGTGCAAAAAATTAGTCTGCTGTGCAGTAAAATGTCTTGTGTAGACACGCCCACTATATCCGGTCCCAGTCTACCAGTAGTGGTAGTACCCATTGTTTCCTAAACAGTCCAATTGTTAGAGTACACACCTTGGAAGTGGGAGACCTGGGTTTTAGGTGCCTTCTCACCTTGAGGGGAACAGAACTCACATTTCCTACTTCCCATACTACCTCTATAGGCTGGTTTGGGTGAAGACCCTCCCCATCTCTCCTGTTGAAGCTAGGCCACTGGGTAACCCAAACTATGTATGGAGCCAGAGGGACAACAAGCAACAGGAAACATGATTGTGTAAGCCTAGTTGTTATAACTAGTCCAGGCATTGGCAAAATAGAGCCCGTGGGCTAGATCTGGCTCACCGAGGGATTTTGTCCGTCTTGCAGCAGGTTCCTCAGTCTCACCCGGCCCCAGCGTGGGGAGCAGCCCAGGTCACGGTGCTTGTGGCCCATCCTGCTGCCCCCAGGCACACAGTGGACTCCACACTTGGACTCCATTTCCCAGCAACAGCAGCTCCTTCTGGTTGCTGCAGCCACTGAACCTGGCCCTGCTTCCTGGGCACCCCAGCTGTCCACCCTGCGCTTCCTGCCAGAGGTGGGACCTGCATAGGCAGAGTACTCAGCTAGGAAGCTAGGATTGGGCCATGGGTGGGCAAGGAGCCATATCCAGGAACAAGATGGGCAGGCAGGACTGGGGAGCACCCAAGATCTTGGGGTGGTGACAGTGCGGGGCTTGGGCAGAGCTGAAATCTACCGCCCTTACACCCCTGCGATGTGTGCAGTTTCTTTGGGCAGGGGTGTGCAGGGACTGAATTGTAGCTCTGCCCCGGCCTGGCCCCACACTGTCACTGGCCTGAAATCCTGGGGTGTCCATAGAGCTGCACTGGCCAGGCACATGGCCAGGCAGATGAGATGTGACCATGGTCGGGCAGGGAGGTGCGTCCAGGGCCGGGTCTGGAATCTGGGGCAGTGACAGTGCAGGACCAGGGCCAAGGCAGAGCTGCAATCTGTGCCCTGCACACCCCTGTCCATGGTACCACTGCCCATTGCAGGAGTGTGCAAGCAGCAGACTGTGGTTCTACCCTGGCCCTGGCCCCACGCTGTTACCACCCCGTGCCTCCACCCCATGGTCCCGGCCTCACCTGCCTTTCCCACTCCCAAATACTGCTCCCCACACACCTGCAGCTCCATCCCACATACAAAGTTTTGGTGAGCTGTTGCGTAATGGGGTGGGGGATGCTGATCTGTCCTGCAACAGCTCAGCAAAATTCCCAATGGGGCATTCAAGTGCAAATAATTGCCCACCACTGTTCTAGTCCCTGCTGCCAGATCATTTCTATTTTTTAACCTATGATTATCTAAGATAAAATGTGTAAAGAGTTCTGGAAGCAAGCAAGAGGGAGCATGACTCTAACTTTGTACTTAGGGGATTCACTTCGGAGAGTCGATCTTGATCTCTCCTCTCAAACTCTTTATACAATGGTGGTCAAGTGGGAGATAGGTATCTAGAGGTGCACCTACACATGCCATTAAGGCAATGTGATAAGCTGCAGCACAGTTTCCATCAGAGTTTATCATAGCATATGTAAATACTCAAACTGCTGTGGTTCAGGGTGCATGTGCAGATGCTGCATCCAGGACCACAGCAGTCTGAGCCAGGGCGGAGTACCCCTGGGCTGGGAGAGGGCCTGGGGGTGGTATTGGGCAGTGCCAGGGTTGGTTGGAGCACAAGAGTGCCCCATTATCTGAAGCCCCATTATACGAGTCCACCACAGCAAATTAGTCTACTGCACAGTTAACTGCACATGTAGATGCACCCTAGGGCTGCATCCACAAGAGCACAGATGTTTCTTTCCCTAGGGACAAGAAGCAGTGGTACACTTTGTGCCGCTGCTACTTGTCCGTGGGAAATGACTGTGCAACGAACCCTCTGGTGCGTGACAGGTTACCCCAGGTAGGGTAGAGGAGGATGGGGCCAGCACCTGTGCTGGCCCCAGAAGCTTTACCTGGGGTCCTGGGGGCCTTGGGGAGCTGCAGCCATGGTGCTCCTGCAGCTGGAAACATGGGCAGCAGCTGGACCATGGCTCTGGCAGGCCAAGCTCCAGTTTTGGACAGCATGTCCTGCCGCCATGTGTGCTACCCCACTTTCCCACGTTTTTTTTTTTGACCCAGGGAACTCCCAGGCAAAAAACGCCATGTGCTGCAAGGCAGCAGCAGGGGGAATGCCTGAATGTGCAGTGTGTGGCACCGCAGATGGGTCTGTAGCACCACATATTGCACGGATGCGGTTGTCTGGATGAAACCTAGGTGATCAAACGACACTGTTTATGGGCAGTGCTCTAATGCTCATAGGTAGGCACTGAAAGGACTTTGCTTAAACTGAGGAGCTACTCAGTTGTATGGTCTATGAGGTGCCTCTCAAACCAAACTGGATCAGACCAATAATTTCATTTTTAAAACGGAGATATGAACATTTTTGTCCACCATTTGCTTATTTAGAATTTAACTTCTGTTGGACAGGGACTCTCAAATTAGTTGTATGCACAGTGCCTATCACATGGGGCCCTGATCTTGCTTGAGATTCTTGTTAACCCTACACTTAATTTTTATATCTTTTGTTTACATATTGTCAGATAGGTATGCCATATACACAATGGATCAATAAAATCCATCCCTACTATTATAATGACTGATAAATTACACTGGAAAGTAATCTTTAGCTGTTTTATATATTTGTCAACTATTTTTACTGTGATAAGTACTTGATAAGCTTTTACCTACATCAGGAGATTAAAGTAATCAAATAATCACTTTTTTAAAAAGTTAACATATTTTGACAAAAATGTCTTTATGTATTTTTCCAAATCAATACACAGAAAAAGAATAACAGTTAGTTTTCTTCGTGGTACTTTAAGATTTATCCCTAAATCTCATTTATATGATTTATTTCAGTCAGCAGCATTCTATAGTCTTTGAGTTTCTTTGTCTCTGCATCTCAAAACATATCACTTTTTTAGACTATCACAAAGAAATACAGAAAAGAATTAAACTTAGCTTTCTTTTTAATACACATGCACTAAGCTTTAACTTTTTTGCTATTTTTAAAAGGATCATATGCTTCAGTTACCTTTCTTTTTGGTGGGTGACTTTGGAGGTTGTTTCTTAGTATCTTTGGCATCCTTACCAGCTGCCTTCCCTCCTGTTCCCTGAGAGGATTTTTGACATTCCCTTTCTTTTATTTCTATTTGCTGGTGTTCTTTTTCTTCCTCTGTTTCTTTTGACTGTTTTTCAGCGGTTACCTTAAATTCATATTCACCAGTTTAGTGTAATATACAGGATTGATAACATACAATTAATGATTTGAAGCATCTGTCTTTCATTTCCCACTTGTGTTTACTGATGTGTATGTGAAATAAATGAGACATTTTGATTTGTGAATTTTATAGCGAGCTGGGATGTGCATTCTGATTAGGTCAGAAAACAACTGTTAAAGCAAAAAAAAAAAAAAAAA